GTATTATTGGGTAACCCATTTATACCCATATACAAAAATTTAAGATACCCATACCCATCTATTCATGGGCGGGTATGGGTAAATTTAATTAAGTGGGTTGATTTGCCTCCTCTAAATGTAACTATGACGAGAATAAGCGCTATTGGAACTAATTCTGACCCGTTCAGACTTGACACATCGTTCTATATTGTTTGGTTAATTGTAATTTAAAATAAATATAATACCGGAAAGGGTTAGGTTAGGTGATAAGGTGAGAGAAATTTTAAATAAGAGATCTTGAGTAAAAAAAAAAAAGAGGTGAGAAAACCAGTTTAATTGTGGTAAAAAAAAAAGTAATAAAACCAGATTAATTGTGGTTTAGTATTCAATATTGTATACCTTTGTTTCAGTATTCTCCTATCAAAATCTTTCGTGCAAATAACATGCCAAGAAACCACAATAGCCGATAAAGATTCTTGCAGTCTTCGTGAAAGTAAAATACTAAAGCAGTAACTTCACATGCGGTAATAAGGAGAAATCAAAAATAAAAAAAGTTCTTCAATTACAACAGAAAATTGACCCTTTACATCCTCCGAAGTGCAAATACTTTCCGACTTCCTATCCATGGACTACTAACTCCTATGTTCTTATGTTCCAAGTTACAATGGAAATTTGGGAGAAAAAAAATTTGGAAACTTTCAAGAAGAGGAGAGAGCGGATATTTGAAAAACTTGTGCCATTCTTGACAAACAAGCAAGTATATAATGACTGATTGTAGAATCATGTATATAATAAGCAAGTCAATAGGTCGTACATGGTAAGGATAATTTTATGGGAAAAATCCACTTTTCATCATCAAACTTTGTGACAAAGACACATTTGGTCCCCAAACTTTTCGTCGGAATACATTGAGTACATGAATTAATGATTTTTTGCCACATTTAGTCAAAAAAACGGGAATTTACTCAATTTGGACGGTGAAGACCACGTGGCCGTTAACAAATGTCCAAATATCAATTTATAACCAACACAAGTCAGCTTTTTGTGGACATTACACAATTCCTTGAACAAGTTGTCCATTTTGGTATTATTTTAAGTTCTTACTTAATGGGCATTACCTATTCAAAATACTAGCTTTTTGTGGACATTTTACTCTCAAACATTCAATTTATAATAAATATATAAATGTTTTTAAGTAAAATTCAAAAAGTGTTACAGTAATTTCTTACGAAAAAAAACTAGTAGGTTATCTATTTAATATAAATTAAATATTTTTTAAAAAAGAAATATCCCATAAAGTACCAACTCTTTATGGCTTTTCTCTATTACATGAACCAAGTACTAGGTTTTTATGAGCATTTTATTCTGAATCATTTAATATATGTTAAATACATAAATATTTGCAAATAAAATTCAAAAGCCATTACACAAATATTTTGACTAAAGGAAAACTAGCATGTTTTGTATTTAATATAAATGAAGTATTTGAAAGTAAAAAAAAATCGTCCATAACATACCAATTCTTTACGAGTTTCTTCCATTATATGAATAAAGTACTAGCTATTTATGAGCATTTTACTTTGAATCATTTAATTTATATTAAATACATAAATGTTTATAAGTGAAATTCAAAAAGTGTTACACTAATATTATTACGAAAGGGAAACTAGTAGGTTTTGTATTTAACATAAATTAAATACGTGAAAGTAAAAAAAGAAATTATCCACTTTTTACTAGCTATTTACGGGTTTCTTCTATTATATGAATAAAGTACTAGTTATTTATAGGCATTTTACTCTGAATCATATAATTTATATTAAATACATAAATGTTTGTAAGTAAAATTTAAAAAGTGATATACTAATATTTTTACGAAAGGAAAACTAGTAGGTTTTGTATTTAACATAAATTCAATACGTGAAAGTAAAAAAAAAAAAAAAAATTGTCCATAACATATCAGCTCTTTATGGGTTTCCTCTATTACACAAACAAAGTAATAGCTATTTATGAGCATTTTACTCTGAATCATTTTTTTTTGTCATACTGGATTATTATTATTTTTTACTCTGAATCATTTAATTTATATTAAATATACTGGATTGGAAAATCTTTGTTGAATCACTCTATTAACTCTGCTAATCTCAACCAGCTTTTCACTTCATTAACTCGGTGGGAAAGGGAGAAACTTGGAGAAGAAAAGCAGTGGGTTAGAGAGAGAGTAAAGTGTGGACTTGTGTTTGACTTGTGTTGGTTATAAATTGATATTTGGACATTGGGAAAAATCCACTTTTCATCCTCAAACTTTGTGACGAAGACACATTTGGTCCCCAAACTTTTCGTCGGAACATATTGAGTACATGAATTAACGATTTTTTGTCACATTTAGTCAAAAAATGGGAATTTACTCAATTTGGATGGTGAAGACCACGTGGCCGTTAACAAATGTCCAAATATCAATTTATAACCAACACAAGTCAAACACAAGTCCACACTTTACTCTCTCTCTAACCCACTGCTTTTCTTCTCCAAGTTTCCCCCTTTCCCACCGAGTTAATGAAGTGAAAAGCTGCTTGAGATTAGCAGAGTTAATGGAGTGATTCAACAAAGATTTTCCAATCCAGTATATTTAATATAAATTAAATGATTCAGAGTAAAATGCTCATAAATAGCTATTACTTTGTTTGTGTAATAGAGGAAACCCATAAAGAGCTGATATGTTATGGACAATTTTTTTTTTTTTTACTTTCACGTATTTAATTTATGTTAAATACAAAACCTACTAGTTTTCCTTTCGTAAAAATATTAGTATATCACTTTTTAAATTTTACTTACAAACATTTATGTATTTAACATAAATTATATGATTCATAGTAAAATGCCTATAAATAGCTAGTACTTTATTCATATAATAGAAGAAACCCGTAAAGAGCTAGTAAAAAGTGGGTAATTTTGTTTTTTACTTTCACGTATTTAATTTATTTTAAATACAAAACCTACTAGTTTCCCTTTCGTAATAATATTAGTGTAACACTTTTTGAATTTCACTTATAAACATTTATGTATTTAATATAAATTAAATGATTCAAAGTAAAATGCTCATAAATAGCTAGTACTTTATTCATATAATGGAAGAAACTCGTAAAGAACTGGTATGTTATGGACAATTTTTTTTACTTTCAAGTACTTCATTTATATTAAATACAAAACATGCTAGTTTTTCTTTCGTAAAAATATTTGTGTAACGCCTTTTGAATTTTATTTGCAAATATTTATGTATTTAACATAAATTAAATGATTCAGAATAAAATGCTCATAAAAACCTGGTACTTAGTTCATGTAATAGAGAAAAGCCATAAAGAGTTGGTACTTTGTGGGATATTTCTTTTTTAAAAAATATTTAATTTATGTTAAATAGATAACCTATTAGTTTTTTTTCGTAAGAAATTACTGTAACACTTTTTGAATTTTACTTAAAAACATTTATATATTTATTATAAATTGAATGTTTGAGAGTAAAATGTCCACAAAAAGCTAGTATTTTGAATAGGTATTGCCCATTAAATAAGAACTTAAAATAATATCAAAGTGGACAACTTGTTCAAGGAATTGTGTAATGTCCACAAAAGGCTGACCTGTGTTGGTTATAAATTGATATTTGGATATTTCTTAACGGTCACGTGGTCTACACCGTCCAAATTGAGTAAATTCCCATTTTTTGACTAAATGTGGCAAAAAATCGTTAATTCATGTACTCAATGTGTTCCGACGAAAAGTTTGGGGACCAAATGTGTCTTTGTCACAAAATTTGAGGATGAAAAGTGGATTTTTCCCATAATTTTATATTTGAACTTAGAATTCAAAAGTCGTGCTAAGTTGAAGAAGAGAGCAGAAAGTAAACGTAATCCGAGTGAATAAATTGAGTGTAAACAATTATTGGAAGCATATCGTGAAATTAATTTAGGGTTCAAAATTGGTTTGTTTAATCTGAAACATGCCGGTTAGGATTGAGAAGTGGCTGAGAGACGATGGAGACGCATTCTCATTAGTTTGAGGTTAAATGAGTTAGGGGAAAAATCCACTTTTTGTTACTAAAGTTTGAGTTGGGGACACATTTCGTCCCTAAACTTTTAGACACATCACATTTAGTATATGAATTAATTATTTTTTTGTTACATTTAGTCCAAAAACGGTAAATTGCTTAATTTGGATAGAGAAAGTCATGTGTTTGATATGTGGTCGTTAAGTAAAAATAATTTCTCAGTCAAAATTAACGGTCACGTCAGTCTTCTCCATTCTAATTGAATATTTTACCGTTTTTGAACGAAATGTGACCCGAAATAATTAATTCATGTACTAAATGTGGTGCATTTAGAAGTTTGGAGACCAAATGTGTCCCTAACTCAAAATTTAAAGACGAAAAGTGGATTTTTCCCAATGAGTTAGTACCAGCCTATTACTAGACTATGAAAATGCATAGACTTCCACCATTTCTATTCTTGATTAAAAACTTAGACCTATGCATAATTGCATATGCAGTACACCATTGAGCTGACATCTCTTTCCTCTTCAAGAGCAGAAGACAAAATCCAAGGCCCAAAAACAAAAAGCCAAAGATGATAACTAAAAAAGGAAAAAGAAAGAGAAAGAGAAAAAAAATTCTACACTCTAGTATGTTCTTGTATTAGATCTTTTTACATTTGGCTGTTAGAAGTATGATCCCACAGTTGCATTACATTAACATTTCACCCCTCAAAAAAATGTAAGGGCTTGAATTTCATTGGTGCAAAAAAATTAAAAAAAAAAAGAAAAGAACAACACTAAATTATAATTATATGATATCCTTATAGTTTTATTATCTTGTGAAAGAGAGCAAAAATTTGTGTTGACCTGGTCTACAGCCACAACGATATGCCTTGTATACAGGAGAACAAAATACAAGTGAACACGATACAAATAGCTATGCATTTTTTCCCTCAGTATATCTTCATTATTGTATATTTCCCTCAGTATATCTTGCATGATCACTTACATGGACTATAAGGTGGAATAGTTTGTTCAATATTGAAGTAATTGAAAGGATCAACGTGCGTCTTGGCTCTGACCAATCGCTCATAGTTTTGATTGAAATATGGAACAGCCCAGCTTCTTGATACTTCAACGCTGGTGAAATTTGAGTTGTTTATACCCAAATCAAGATCCCTGTAATCGACATATGCCCTTCTTGGATTTTTGGCTACATATTGACCAATAATCCTCTGCCTTTGTCGAATCCAAGCTATACGCTGTCTTTGTAGATTTGGTTCTGATCCATTCCATTCAATAGCTTCAAACAAAATGAATATATTTCCAGCCCTATATGGAAACGGAATTGCTGTGGAAGGAAACTCATCCATAATTCCCCCAAAAGGGGTCCATTCGAATTTCCCAGGTGGATTATCTATCTTCAAAAGTTGTCCCCATATCTTCTTTAACCCCTCAACTGGAATAGGCACCTGGGCAAAATTTGACTTTCCTTTCAAATAAATTTTAGGAACTGGAGGAAATCTACTTGTCAAAAAAGTGGCCGTTGAGTTTGTTGGGATGTTCAGATGGAAGGGATAATTATCGAGCCAATTCAGTCGAATGCAATCTCGCCTAGTCAATCCCAATTCTGGAAATTGATTTTGCATTATCGAGAGTAGTTGATCAACTCCTCCCTGGAAAACAGCAACAAATGAAGCTTGTATCGTTTTTCTGCCAGTTTGAGCTGAATTGATACTAGTTATTTGGAGTGAAAGAAGTAGGTCCCTGGGCAACTTTGGGGCAACAAATTGCCACTTGTGAACAAGGTTTGTTGCATTTGTTTCCAGGGTTTTGTTAAGGCGAAATGCTGAAACTCTCGGGGTAATGGCAACCAATTTTACTTTACATGCGAGAATGACACAAAAACTAGCACCTGTTCCCCCTCTGATTGCCCAAAACACATCCTCTCCCATCGATGCTCGAGTGAGAACTCTTCCTTTTGCATCGACAATACGAGCATCAATGACATTATCAGCAGCTAGACCATGTTTCCTTATCAGAGGACCATAGCCTCCTCCGCTAACGTGACCCCCAACTCCAATATTAGGCCAATAGCCAGCTGCGAAAGCAAGCGAGCTATTAGTTTTGTTAATGGCATAGTAAGTTTCTCCTATTGTTGCACCAGCTCCAACCCATGCTGTTCGTTCTTGGTTATTAACTTTAACATAACGATAATTGAACATGTCCATGACGAAAAAGGTAGCATTGGAAACATAGGAGCTGCCCTCAAAGTCATGGCCTCCGCTTCGAATCCTCATTCGCAAACCAACCTTCTTAGAGCAGTAAATTGCTGTCCGAATTTGGGAATTTTTAACTGGGGTGAGAATGACTTGGGGCTTAGGGGTGTTGGGTAAGCTGAAACGCAGGTTTTTTGTGTAAAACAGCAAGATTGAAGAGTATGAAGGGTTATTTGGTGTGTAAATGATTTTTGACATTGCCTTTGGATTGTCAGATATACGCAGAAGGCAATGGACAAAATGTTCGTGGGAATTATTTGCTGTTGAGGTAAAATGTGAAAGAGAAAAAACAAGGAAAAACGTTACAAACATTTGAAGCAACATTGTGTTTAACATCTTCATATTATCAATTAACTCAAAATGGATAAGTGGAGACACGAACTTAAAACCAAAGGTTTAACTATTTATAGAATATATGCGAGTGCATGGCATCAATTAACAAAAAAAAAAAAAAATTACGGATCCCTTGCTTGTCGCCTCAATTTTGGTGGTTTAAGCACTTTCATACAAGCGATTCTGATCAAAACTTCTCAACGGATTGCAGCTTAATTCTCAGGAAGATTGCAACTGGGCAGAAATTGTCTCCTTTTTCTCGACTAATTAATTAATGTAAAACGTATTCCAATAAGCTTTCAATACAGATTTTGCAGAATTGAGAAGGTCAACCTGGCGGTAGTTAGGAATGCTAGTGATCTCTACTTAATCATGTGTTAGGATTATTTTTCTTTTTCATCGTTCTCAAATTATAAATTACTTTTCAATTAAAAAATATAGTTAATTTTTAAATTCTCTAAAATACTCTTTTGTAATGTGCTTTCTTTATCAATGAACATCACCAACCTTATTTAATTATTGTAGGCATAATATTTAATTGGGTGAGATGTAATATTGGCAAAAAGCCACAATCATGGTATTGTTTCAAAACTATTCACATCACTAGGAGAAGCAAAAGTCGCCATTTTGATTCTCAACTATTGTATTTGTGGTCTTGATTGTCGTGGTAATTAATTAATATAATAGTTAATCATATAATATTAATACAACGGTGTTTCAAAAACAAAGGTAAACTAAATTTACTCTTCCAATAACGTTATCTAAATTTCCTTAAATTGTGTGAAAAAGGAAAATATGACCAGCCTCAATTATCTTGAACTTGTTGCTATCACGGATTAGTCTTAGTTAGTTAATTGGTCATAGTAGTATCCTTATATGCCAAAGAGACTGTCCATTGAGTTCTGATTCGCTGAAAAGTGAAAAGGAGTATTAAAAGAAAAAATCATTTTGCTTTTAATATTTCCATAGCCAAATGGATGACTTTTAATATTTCCATAGCCAAATGTTAGTTTTCCGGTGGATAAATTTCCTACATGAGAGTTGATGCTGAGAAGAGAGAGGGAGAGCAGCACAAAAGATGCAGTTATAAGGTGAGATAGGTAGCAGAGAAGAGAATAGAGGGGAAGGTCATCATGTGCATGTAAAGAGATGGGGTGATTAGGTGGAATATGTAGCAAGGTAAATGGAAGGGAAGGTCATCATATGATATGGGGGGAGGGAATGACATATTTTTATTTTTTTTAGATGTTTTTATTGTCCTTTTTTGGGTGTTTTTTGGTTTACTTTACGTGTTTTTCGATCTTCTTTTTTTATAGAAAATGTTGTTGTTCAAAAAAATGATATATATATATATATATATATAAGAAAACTAGAATGAGCTATTGCAAAACACATTTTTAAAGAGAAATTAAAGAAGATAAACATAACTAATTAAAAAAAAAAAGGAACTCTTGAGGGGCAAAATAATAGAGTTCAAACTTAAATCATAAGAAGTATAAAAAGGGGAGTTGGCTGATATGAGTGCAATAGTGATGGTCCCGTATGGGCACCATCAGTAGGTGGCTAAACATGGAATTTCACATTTTTGTTTTGGTGTTGGACAGATTGACTTGCTTAACATCTACGGTGGTGGTGTTAGCTTACGTGGAAGCAATTGGGAGCTTCTGAAGTTGCATGTCTTGCATGTCTTTGTTAAAAACGGTGCAAATGTGCTTTAGACAGGTGGCTAAATTTGAAATTTCACCTTAACATATTAGTATTGTATAGATTGAGTTTCCTTTACTTTTGTTGCCTTATTACGTGGAAGCAATTGGAGGCTTACCCATTTATTTTAATTTTTTTGTAATCTCATTTAAATTTATTTTTACAAATTAAGTTATCAATTTATACCACCCTTTACACTCATTATTAGTTTAAAATATTTACTTATAATGTTCAATAAGCCTGATTATCAATTTTTTTTCATCCACACTCTATGTCACAAAATTACATACTATTTAATAATTGATCAATAAGAATATAAAAATTTGAACTAAATACTATAAAAGTTAACATAAAAATTTAATCCAAAAATTTTGAACCCCTAGCATTTTTTTCATGTGTAAATTTAAATTTTCATTTTGGAAAGGTCGGAAAATAGGCTAAAATTTGTCATAAATTGGTAATGCTAAAAAATGAGCTAGTTAACAAATTAAGAGAAAATAAAATGATAAAATAAAATCAACAAATAATAATAATAATAATGAAACAAAAGTAGTTAACATCCTGACAAAATAAAGAATCTGAAAAAAAAGGGGTGGAGAAAGAGAGGAGGTTTGGGAGAAGACAATTCTAAATGATTTAATTAGATTTGATGAGTTATCCAATAAAATTAAATGGGTATTATTGGGTAACTCATTTTATACTCATATGCAAAAATTTAAGATACCCATATCCATCTATTCATAGTCGAGTGTGGGTAAATTTAGTTAAATAGGTTTGTTTGTCATCTATAGTTTTGCAATAGCTGTTGACATTAGTTTTCTACCATGCAACCACCTATTTTTGTTAATGTAAATAGTGGTTTTGTCTACAGCTCTTTGTATGAGCTTTCTATCCTGTAATGACCAATTTTTGATAATGTACAGACTGCTACAAAATAATGTGTCTACGTGTCCTGAACTACCACTCTTTCATCATCAAATTCGCACACACCCACTCTTAACTTCACACACACAACTAACAACTTCACAAAAAACTGGGCACCCTCATGCATCGCATGAGGCACAAATAAACTAGTAATACTATATGTAGAAGTTTCGGAATGGTGGGGGCGCCTGCCCCTCCCCCTGCCCCTGCCCCGGCCCCTGCCCCGGCCCGTCCGCCCAGTGTCCAGTGTTGTTTGTAGACTTCCACCAAAGAACTACAAAAAATATACAAATAAAAAAATAATAGAAAAGAAAAGGTGATCTTGTTACTTGAGCCAACCACGCTCTTAGATTGTTTTAGTTATTATAACTAGGGAAAAGAGTCCCAATGGCCCTCTAACTCTTACTCAGGTAAAGTTTTGGCCCTCCAACAATTAAAGAAACGGTTTTGGCCCTCGATCTAACAAAATGGCATATTCGTGGCCCTTCTGTCAAATCCAGCAGTTAACTATGACGGGAAGCTTCATCTCGTGAGATGCGCGCACAAATATGAAGGGCACTATAGTCTCTTGGCCAAGACAGAGTAAAAACAGTTTCACCAACCATTTTCCCTCCAACAATTTCACCCCCTTTGCTGTAAAACCCTAGTGCGACTTAAATCAGAGTGTTCAATTCGGACGCTGCAGCGAAAGTGGTAATTGCCGGCGTGGGAGGGATTGTAAAGGCAGAAATGAAGTGGCGAATAAGGAGGAAGGATGACTATTTTGATCCGTACCTTGTTTACGGTAATTGAAATTGTTGTTTACTAACCCTTTTGGGTTTAAGATTTGTTTATATGTTTGGGCAATGTGTACTGGAACTTATTTGTTTAGTATATGCATGTGTAATGGGACTTATTTGTGTATATGTTTGGGTAATGGTGATGTTGGGAGGCTAAGTGGTCCAGTTTGTGGTCCAGTTTGTGGTCCTACTTTGTTTGTTGTAAATTGATAATGTCGGACAAAGGAGGTTATTTTGAAAGTGATGTATTTTAATGGCTGAAAAGGGACACTTTATTTGTTTAGGATCTTCTTTTTTTTTGCCGAATACTGACCAATTCAGTATTTCATTTGTTAGCCTCTGTTTGTTTTTTGTTGACTATTTTATCCTAATTGCTATTGTAGAGACTGATTCTGAATGGTTTACTATTCGGATGCATCATGGGGGTAGGATTATGTGGGAACAGTATGTCTGGTATGCTAATGGAGAGGTGGACTATGTAGATGTTTGTAATGCCGAAAGAATGTCAACCATTGAACTAAATAAAATGGTGGGAAAAATGGGACATCGTAACACTGCCATAATGTACTACTACCTTGAACCAAATAAGGATCTAAGAAATGGTTTAAGAGAGTTATGTACCGATGATGACGTTATCAAATTTTGTGGTTGGACTTATAAGTACAAGGTAATGGAAGTCTATTGCAACCATCTAACAACTGAAGAAATTAATAGTTGCAAGTCTCCCATAGTGATCCAACTAGCAGAGAAGAAGAAAAGTGGTGTTTTGATAGAAGAGTTGGATGAGGAGGGTAGTGTAGTAGAAGAATCTTTTTCTCACTTAATTCCTAAGAGGAGGCTGTTCATTAGAGGGTCAACTGGAGGACAGAGTCGAAGTAGAAGAACAGCAAAGAGCCAGCACATTGGTGAGCAAAGTGGTGATGCACAACAGGAACATGAAGGGTCCTCAAGTGAGCAGCAACAGGAGCAGCAACTTGAGCAGCAAACTGAGCAACATGAAGGGTCCTTAAGTGAGCAGCAACCTGAGCAGCAACTTGAGCAGCAAACTGAGCAACATGAAGGGTCCTTAAGTGAGCAGCAACCTGAGCAGCAACTTGAGCAGCAAACTGAGCAACATGAAGGGTCCTTAAGTGAGCAGCAACCTGAGCAGCAGCATGTAGGTTCTTCAATTGGAGGACCTTCACAGCAGGGAGGAGATGCAGCACAAGAAGGATTGATGTGTGAACAGGCTGATGAAGATAAAGGAAATGGAGGAGATGATGAAGATTCTGGATCAGAAAATGAATATGACAGATTCAGTGGTGATGTAGAATACTGTAGAGAGGAGGATCTTCTTGGTGATTTGACATTGCAGCCAACTCAGTGTAGAAGCACATTAGAAGAGGTGCAAAGTGGAGGACCTTCACAGCATGAAGAAGAAGCAACTGAGCAGGCTACTACTGAACAGGCTACTACTCAACAACCTGAAACACAACAGTCCTCAGAACAACAGCAAGCACAACAGAAAAAAAAACAAGTAAGGCGAAGAAGAAAAACAAAACAGCAGCAGCAGACCAGAGATTCTACACCTGAAGCAGATACATTGGCAGAAGATACAATCCCAGATCATCTAAGAAGTGATGTTGGTTCATCAGAGGAAGATGAAGAACCTGAGCAGTATGCTGGCAAGTATAAATTTTTCTTGGGAAAAATTTAGGATTGATACAAGGTTCGAGTTGGGTTTGAAATTCGAATCAAGAGCCCAATTCAAAGCTGCTATCCAAGAATATGGAATTAAGATGGGAAAACCAGTGTACACAAAGAAGAATGAACCAAAGAGGGTGAGAGCCAGGTGTAAAGATCCATGTCCATGGTATGTGTTTGCATCAGTTGAAAAGGCACTTGGCACAACAGATTTGGTGGTGAAGACAATGTATGACAAGCATGAAAACTGTAATCATGCCTGGAAAAACAAAAATTTGAAGGCCAATTGGTTGTCAAATAGATATATGGAGAGAATTAGATCCAATACTCGCATGCCAACTCGGGAGATTAGGCAAACAGTGCATGAGGAGTACCAAACCCAAATTTCTAAATGGGTGGCTTCTAATGCGAGAAAATTGGCTCTGAAAATGATACAGGGGTCGGCCGAAGCACAATATAAGAAACTTTGGGAGTATTGTGCTGAGATAAAGAAGACACATGAAGGGAGTACAATGGAGATAATGTTTACTCCATTTAGAGGATCAGGGGGTAATCCTAAATTCATGAGGTTATACTGCTGTTTAGACCCATTGAAGAAGGGATTCAAGAATGGCTGTAGGCCAATAATAGGCCTAGATGGTTGCCATCTAAAGGGGGTTTATAGAGGACAGTTACTAACTGCCATTGCTGCAGACCCGAATAATGGATGGTGGCCTATTGCCTGGGCTGTTGTGGAGAGAGAAGCAACTGAGCAGTGGACTTGGTTTCTCAAATATTTAAGTGAGGACTTGGAAATCGAAAATCAGTGCCACTATACCTTTATATCAGATCAGCAAAAGGTATGCGAGAAAACTTTGAAATTCAACATTTGATTCAAATGATGGTAGAAACTAACAGTCTATATCATGATTTCATTTTAGGGGCTAGACAGGGCACTTAGTGAAGTTCTGCCTGGATGTGAGCACAGGTATCATGATTTCCTTTAAAATTAAGAAATTTTTATCAAGTTTTTTTTTCCACTGAAGTTTTGCAATTGTTTAACAATGACTTAATTAACTTTATAAAAACAGGTACTGTGTCCAACATATGTATCACAATTTCAAGAAAAAGTATCCTGGTTTGGCTCTTAAAGACAGGATATGGAACATAGCATGTTGCACAACAGTGAAAATGTACGACAAAGCTATGGAAGAACTTCAAACTTTTGGTAAGGATGCATATGAATGGGTCAAGAAAGCTCCTCATCCTCGACATTGGTGCAAAGCATATTTTCCAACTCACGTCAAGAGTGATATGATAGTGAATAACCTATGCGAGTCCTTCAATGCCCACATTAAAGATGCAAGGGACCAACCTATCATCACAATGTTGGAAATTATAAGGGAATATCTTATGGAGAGGATCCAAAGAAGACGCGCTGCAATGGAGAAATGCAAGGGCTCCACTGGACCTTTAATTAATGAGATTGTTCAGACTAGAGTCAAGCATTCAAGTCAGTGGATGCCCATTTGGAATGCACTGCATGACTATCAAGTCAAAGGTCCAAGAGGGGCCCAATTTGCAGTAGATATGCAAAAAAAATATTGTACTTGCAGATTATGGGAGGTTAGTGGAATTCCCTGCTGTCATGCAATTGCTGCTATCTTCATGCGAGAAGAGGATCCTTACTCTTATCTGGATCGTTCTTATAGCAGAGGCCTCTTCTTCCAGATTTATGAGAATGTTTTGCAGCCAATTAGTGGCGAGGATCATTGGCCCTCATCCACCATGCCTGTGTTGGATCCACCAATACCAGTTACTCAACCTGGTAGGCCTAAAAAGGCTAGGAGAAGGGATGTGACTGAGGGGAGAGATCATGGTAGAAGGTTGAGGAGGAGAGTTGTCATTCATTGTAGAAAATGCGGTGAGGTTGGTCATAATGCAGCTACGTGCAAGAAGCCTTCCAATGAAGAAGCACAACAAGGTTCTAACCAGTCATCCGAAGCTCAACCGAGTAATCAGCAGAGGCAACAATCAGTAGAAAAAGAGAGGACAGTAAGTGCATGCAATTGCTATTAATTTTTCACTATTTTACATCCGTCATGTACTTATTTGTGTCATGTACAATTTTGATAAGAATAAGGAACCAGGTCAGTCTTCTCAAAATGTGCAACAATAAATGCAACAAGCTAACGATGAAACTGGACAGCAACATCCACAACAGAGCCAACAACATCATCATTCGCAGCGAAGAAAAAACTCAGCTACAAAACCACTTACTGATGCCGAAAAAGGAGCTATCAATGCGAACTATGCTTATTTGGGTAAAGAACCCCCATTCACAGTTGGAAACTGGAGGGGGAGATGGAGTGGAAGAGGCAGAGGCAGAGCAAGAGGAAGAGGAAGAGGAAGACAAGGTGAAAGAGAAATGAGAGGAACAACCACTGGAAGAGGAACTCAGCCATGATAGACTTATTTCTGTTTGACAAACTCTTTTTGTCTTATCCTGTGTAAACTGATGATGACAATTCATTTTGTGTCTAGCAGTTCTTCTCTGTTTTTTTTGTCTAGCAGTTGCTTGTTGGTAACATGCTGATTCTGCTTTGTATTATAGCAGTTCCTTTTGATACTCATTGACAAGTGATTAATATGATGTATACATTATGGCTTTATGTACTCCTTCTTACATCATTATTATGCCTTCTTTCTAAGCACAATACCAAACCAATTCATTGAGTCGAACAAATGAACTTCAGCACTTTTATTTAATAAAAAGAGATGAGCAGATATTTCATTAGAACCAGCACAAACACAGATTTGATTACAAGGTTTGCGGAAACATCGTACAACTACAAATCAAAAATTTACATTAAAAGGAACAATTTGGATCATCTTCTTCCCCTGCAAACTTCAACTTGGTAAGGGCCAGGTGTTTGCAAGCACCTTGTATTTGTCGAAAACTGACAAGATTTTCCTTTTTTTGGCCCCAACTCATCAAAATTAAAAAAATCAATATCCATGTTAAAAAGAGCAATTTCCCTAGCAACTTATTAACCCATTTTTTGCTGCGAATGTCTTTCTCCAATTCTTTAACTTTTTCCTTCAATTTTGTTACCTTTCTTTCATTTCTTCTTGCTATTTCTTCATATTCATCTCTGTCCTTTTCAGTTGCATTAATCTTTCGAAGAAGGCCAGGTATAATTTCTGTAGCCCGTCGGCACATCTCCTCATCGATCCATGCCCAATATCCGCAGCAACCTTCAGCGCACACAGCAAACCTTCGTCCAGGATTTTTTGAAGTCCATGAAGTAATCACTCTAGTCTCTTTCTCACATCTGCACACCGGTAGAGGGGAACTGCTCATTCTTCGCATTTTCAGCTCCAACTTTGAATTGCTGCAGACTTTGTTGCTCTAACTTAAGGTAAGAGAAGAAGCTACCTTTTTACTCTCTCTTTGTTTGGTCAACCATCCTTAAGAGACTATAGTGCCCTTCATATTTGTGCGCGCATCTCACGAGATGAAGCTTCCCGTCATAGTTAACTGCTGGATTTGACAGAAGGGCCACGAATATGCCATTTTGTTAGATCGAGGGCCAAAACCGTTTCTTTAATTGTTGGAGGGCCAAAACTTTACCTGAGTAAGAGTTAGAGGGCCATTGGGACTCTTTTCCCTTATAACTAATATTTATGGAAGCTAGATTTGTTTATTCTTTTATTGATATCTTCTATCTACTATTGACGACTATTGACGACAATTTGTTTAAAATGTATACAAAGTTCTAAAGCCAGGGTCACTGTTGAAATAATTAAACTAAACTATTTAGAAGTTTAATAGTTTTAGAATTGGATTTATTATTTGGTAATTATATTAGAATTAGTATCAAAATTGGTTTAGAAAATAGGGTTAAGTTGTGTTTTGGAATTAAAATTAGAATGGTTTTACTATTTTGTTTCTCTATTTAAGGATTTGAAATCCTACGTTTGTAGTTAAGGAAAACCAGTGAATTGATTGAAAAATATTTTCTTTGCTCATGTACCTTTGACGAGTCTCAAACTTGCGCTGTAAGTTTTATACGTAATCTCTTGTTTGTTGTAAGTATACAAGTTGTTATTGTAATATAAAAGAGTTGAGATCGATCCAACGAGAACCCCTACCAACTACTAAGACTTTTTACTCACTCTATTATCTAAACCAACAAGAATACTGGCTAAAGTAAAGCAACAAGTTATAACAATGCAAAAGGAAAAAACTAGATCCAAGTGTTTTAGAGCATAGAATCCACTAAATATGCCTAACCATGGATGAGATGGTCAATTATCATTAAAACTCTTGTCTTGCTAAGGATATATTTTATTCAAACAATCGGAACTCACTTTTGCTAATGAACCAAATTTAGCCAACACTGTAGTTTCTCCACTTTCGTGGTGAAATCACAAGTGAAGACTTAATCAAGCACCAGGAATATCAAAAACATCCACCTAAGTGTACTATTACTTTTTATATGTTTACTCCTTAGGTTCTACCTATTCCATTTCCATAATTGTCGTCTATTTTCATAGATTAACAACAACTAGCATGCCTTGCAAATAGTGATCAAGCATTCACAAGTACAGAAGCAAGAATAGAAAAACTAGCAAGTACAAGATATAACAATAATCAACTACATTCAACCATAATCAAGGCACAAATAATTTCATCTATCCCTATAATGGATTGTATTATTTTGTTTATCTATTTAAGGATTTGAAGTCCTGCATTTGTAGTTGAGAAAAATTAGTGAATTGATTGAAAAAAGATTTTCTTTCCTCTCATGCCTTCCTTTAAGTTTTAACCTATGGTTCATCACATCGGCCGAAGGCTCACGGCTTTTATCTGTCTATATTAGCATAGTTGGTTTAATTCTCTCTACCAAAGAAAAGCTTTACAGCTTTGTTTGGTCATATATATTTTGAGTGACTTGTTTTCTTGGTTTGAAAGTTTGAATTACATTCGCTGCTGTGTGATTTTTTGTGCTAACAGTCACTGGTATACAGACCAAACTCTATGCTCTGTTTGAATAGAGGGAAAGTTGTGTGAAAAAAGTAAAGTACGGAAAAGTGAAGTACAAAAAATTGAAAACGGTTTTTTAGTTTACGTTTGATTGTCAAGAAAAAGTTTGAGGAAAAGTGGGAAGTTAATGATAATTATTGGTAGTTAGTAAAGTTTTTGTATCTAATTTTCTACTTTTCTTCAAAATCCTACAAATTTTGCAGAACGCAAAATACAAGAAAATTTTCAACTTCCCTGTTAACCAAACATACACAAAAAAATTTGCTAATTTTACTTCATTTTCCCACGATTTTCCTTACAAACAAAAGGAGATGGGTTATATAGTGGGAACCATAATGTAATATCACATCGGCTGAAGGATTGAGCTCTAGTTGTCGAGCCTGCAACAGACTTTTCGCCAAATTAGTTCCTTCTTTACTGTGCCATTCCGGCTAATTCCGGCTAATCCCTTCCCGCCGCATTGGGCACTCTTCCCTTTTATTTTTTCCTCCCGTCAAATCACAATGCAAATGTGCCGTACTAGGGCTACAATGCAAATGTGCTGTACTAGGGCTGCGTGTACATTTGGGAGTTATTCTAGAGTTGCTCTGATTAAATTTACGAATGCATTGGCCTGCTTTTTTATATTACCAAATATTTATAAAAGCAATCATAATTAATGAATAATAGCTTTAATTTTGTATTCCTATAGCTATATATATATATATATATATATATATAAAAGAATCGGTTCGTTCTAAATTGTTAATTTAAGCAAAAACTGTGCAGGAGATGTCATTAACCTATGCTTCATTAAAATATTAAAGAAAAACTCTGCCTCATTGTTTAAACAATTTTCAGTATGCTACAGTAAGGAAAAATATTACCCTTTGCTATTCTGATAATAATTTGGGTAAAAAAAATTGGAAGCGAAAATATAAAAATTCATTAAAAAACAGTGTATTCTAACAATTATTTTTTCGCTCAAGTACCCCCCCTCCTCCTTTTTTTTCTTTGGTTGTTAAATGCTACCCTTGCTATTTTAAAAGTTATTTATGCACAAAAATTTGGAAAAAAATTTGAAATCAATAATAAATGACTATTCTAATAAGAGTTACTGTTATATACCCTAATAGTATATATATTATCATGATTAGATACATGACATATATGCATAATTGGTAGTAACATTTAAAAGTTAAGATTCATTAAATAACTTGAAAAGTATAATAATTAGATGTACATGCCAGTTTGTATGCCATTGTTTTAAAACAAATATGTACTTACATATTTATGTTATTAAATTTCTACATCAAGTAAACTGCTTTGTTGGAGTTTATGGGAAGATAGAAAAAATAAGATATTGATAGTGTTAGTTATTTGCTTTGATTATGCAGATCCACCATGACAAATATCCTTATTTGCCTTGAATATCGTATTTGTTTAATGCATGCTTTCTTCCTATGTATGTTACTATTTTCTTCCTATGTATGTTACTCTGAGTCTGTCTAAATGATTTGTTTCTTAGTCGTACCATGTATGTTTCTCTAACGAAATATCCTTTCTTTTTACCAAACAAGTATATTTCATATAATCATATGCCTCTGTGGTGTTTTGATATAATCAGTGTAGTACTATTATCAAATTTGTGACTATATCTCATTTATCATCTCTTTAGTTATGAAACTATTTACAAAGTGATTTTAACAGGAATTTTCTTTTCAATTTTTGTGTTACTTTTTTCTTTTCTATTCCTTGTTTCATTTTTTTCTTCTTTCATACCAAATATTGTAGGGTTTTTTGAAATAGCCACCTGTTAACGCCTAATATTCACATAACCTACTATGTATATACATGTACTAACAATTATTATCCTTTCTTGCATTTCTATACTTTCCTTATTTAATCTTATTTATCCTCCCTTATATTTATTTACTTTCTTTAATTAATTTTACATTTCAAAAAATATTACACCTAAAATATATCTTTGGGCACCGTTAGACAGACTCAATATCGTATGATTGATTTCTTAATCGTGAAACGATACTTAAAGAAATAGTGTTATCCACAAGAACTATCATAATGAAATTAATTATATCGGCAATTGCTACTTAAATCTTCATAATATTTCTTATATACACATAATTTAAAAAATTTTGCATTTATTTCATAAACATATGAAATTATTTCCATAACCTATGTGAGATCTTCAGCCCCAGGTGAGTTCTGAATTGACCACATATCATTTTTCATCTATAAAGTACATATGTTCAACTTCTAACCAGTAACTAAACTTAAATTCACTTCTACATTTTCACACACACCATTCCCGTCATGAAAGACTCATCCAGAGGAGTCTCCCAAAATGCAAATTGTTTTTGTAATTTGTTAGACTGGAAAAAAAAATACTAAAGGGGCCAAATTGTATAAGTTTCACTTTATGTGGTAAATTACGACTATCCTCGAACTTTGTGTCTATCAAATTGTGATTATACATATTTGTTTTGTTAACAAATTGCACTTAAGTGCTTCCTTAAAGTATATACTTGTGCCTTCTTCTATTTCATCCAAATTATTTGGTTTAACTATATTTACTTCCCTTGAGGAT